GAGATATCCCGTGTTTTACGGAAGATCCACTTTCCTCGACGGTCGGTACAATTGAGCGCAAATCGGCATACCACTTCATCTCCACGACCTCCGTTCACGCCCGTCTCCACCATTATAGGATCCAGCCTTTTTCGGAGCTCTTTTACTCAGAGACAGCTGCTGGCCAAGACATTTCACCCTCATTCCGCCTTCTAGACCCCTTGGACAATTGATTGCAGGAAGGAAGAGATCTTCAAGCCGCTATTACTCGGCTAGCCATCTGATCATTGGATCGGTTGAACTTTGATGTCAGGCATGCGCCAAGCAAGGGAAACCGGCAGGTCTCGAGGCGGGGGAGAGGGCCGAACTGACAAGAATCTCTGAGTCTCTGACTCCTCCCATCAAAACTTCGATCGTCGCGTAGGTGGAGGGAAGCCGACTATCGCACGACCAATTGTCAATATACGGTGACATATTTTACATCGTCAATCAAGTCACCTTGGAGCTAGCTACTGTATCTGTACTGAGGACTGTGGTGCTCATGGTCTCATACTCATAGCCGGTATATCCGCCTTCCCCGCTGCAAACTTGGTCACGGTCGGCAAGCTTGATCAACACTACAATGGTGACACCGCCTGCTAATAACCGATGATTGAATCTGTGGTGTACCGGCAGAATGATGAGCCAGTCCATACGACATTGGCAAGTTCATGTTGGAGTCTCTGCGAAGACGCATCAGACTCCAGCTCGGAGAGCAGCGTCTCTCATCAGACGCTTTGTGAAGATGAATGTCTAGAAAGGAACTCGTATTGGACATCACGCCAACGCGTTTGAGCAGCCAATGACTTTTGGCCTGTTAACTCTCCGTAATACAACCGGGAGTGAACTCCACAAGAATACCTGTCATTCACCTGGTTGGGATCTGAGACTTCTGCGCCATGTTTCTCACAGACAGACAGTCTTGAAAGAGAGTGATCATCATGACTATCTAGGTAGAGCCATGCGATCAATGGTCCAGGGGTACGGTTCACAACCACAGCTTGCGGTGTGTTGATTGCGAGAGCTCATAAACCCAGCTCAACCGCTTTCACACCGTCTCGCGCCTCAAGCCAATCTGCGAGAGACAACACGAGGTTCCCGCCAGCTGCTGCATGCAAGCGCGAGGTGATACTGCCAAAACCGGTTTTTTGGTCCTACTATGCGGCCAGTGGTCCTTCTCATGCCGGCTTGGCCGGCCGCCATTGTCCGCAGAGAGGGGCAGGCGTTCATTTGCGACGATAGTTCAGACGGATCGCTTTCACTCTTCGCGGTGGTCCATTCCAACCAGATGGGGCGCCGTTGTGCTGGTTTAGGCTTTTTCTCTAGTTTTTCTAGACGCCCACCCCTCCTTTGACTCAGAGCCAATGCTTTTGGTGTCAATGACAAGAGGTAGCGGAGCTCAGGTCAATATGGCCGGAACCGGGGGCGATAGCCCGGTCCCGCATCGGTGTACATGTCACGTGGTTTACGTGCTGCTTGAGGACGGCAAGCATCAGCCCGATCTACGGCTACCAGGAAAGAGAATCGTTAGTATTTATTAGGTATGGCACTCGCAGCAGTGTCGCTATTAAGATGAGGTAAGTGCTTCATATAACCATGGGAACCAGCATCCGAGGTTTATCTTGCAGTGTCGATCCCCCATGATTGGGAAGCTTCGCAACAATTCAATGCCGAAATACGAGGGCTGGGGATCAATAGGAAGTGAGCTGGACTATTTGACGGGTGACGGGCCTGTTCCGGGTACGAAAAGCACCTGTTGAGGCCGAGGCCTGGAGACTCGAGAGGAGCCGCTCCCCTCCTTGTAGCATATCGAAGTTTCTGAAGGATTTTGCAGGAAAGCAACGTGGGGCCATTCGGAGCAAGCAAATATACACTGCAGATTCTCGGCTGCCGGGGTTCTCAAATAGTCTAACGGTGAAGCTTCAGTCTTGCTGGGGCTGGTTGATGATATCCACTTCACCGTTCTCAAGCGGTCCGACGATGGGGTCCCATGAGGGTGCGGCGGTGTTGGTGGTTGTGCAATTTTTTTTTTTTTTTTCAATTTTTTTTTTCTTTTGCCCTTCTCCTCGCTCAATGGGGGGTGACAAAATAAGCCCTCCTCTTCTCCTTCTCGCTGAATCCTTCTTCTTCTACCTCTTCACAGCAAAACCTTGGTAGCCACACTGAGCAGCCACGCCGCGTCCTGCCAGCCACCCTCGTTTGCTTTTGGGGGCGGAATCCGCTCTTCCGGGGCGCCGATAACACTCTCGAAATGCCGGGCTGACCACGACCGGTGGAGCCCGTGCGCCCCATCCTCGTCAGCCTCGCCCTCGAACTCGTCCCCGTCGACATCGTCTTCGTCGTCAGACTCTTCCTCGTTCTCCTCGACGGCGAACAATGGCCATCCCAGGATGTTCCCGACCCAGGAGGCGCCTCCGGCCCTCTCGCCCTTGACCAGCCTCCTGACGGCGGCCTCGTCGTCCTGCGTGGTGTCAAAGTCGAATGACTCAAGCTGCTCGTCGAGATTGACAAAGTCCGGGCCGGGGATGTAGTCCTCGCCGTCGTGGTGGCGGGGGAAGTATCCCTCCTCGAGAGAGTGACGTTCGCGCTCCATTGGCGTCAACATCTGGCTCCGGGTGCCGCCGACTCTGCTAGCTGACCGACTTCCAGGACGACTAGGCCGGGCGGAATGGATGTAGGCCGCGCCCTCCAGGTCAGCGAGACTGCCGCGCCGGCTGCTGCGTCTGCTGGTGAGCTCCCGCTCCCGCGCCAGTTCCCTTTCGAATGCCTCCTCGTCGGCGTCCCGCATACCCGTCAGGCTCGTCGAGCTCTGTCTCGATACCAGCCACGCCTGGCCCTTTGATTCGCGGTTCTCGTTGCTGATGAGGGCGCCGGTGCGGAGCAGCCAATCGCTATCGTTCCGATCCCGGAATGAGAAATCATCTTTCCGGCGGCGTACCGTCGGCGAGGTGGTGCCCGAGACGGCCTTTCGGCTGCGAGATTTCCTATCGGAGGCGGACGAGGGCGTCAGGTGGGTGGCCGATTTGCTCTTTGGGAGGTCGGCGTGCGGCACGGAAGCGCGGCGGGCGTGGGAGTTTGAGCGGGCGGGCGAGCGGGTGAGCAGGCCGGGCGTCGTCGGGGCGGATTTGCCCTCGAGGTAGGAGGTGCTGTGGTGCGGCGAGGTGAGGTGGTCGGGCAGGGCGTCGTCGTCTTGGAGGGGCATGCGGGAGGTGAAGGGGGCGAGGGAGAGGTGGTTGAGGTTCGTGCTGGAGCGGTTCTTGCGACGCGCTTGGTTCGCGTATTGCTTATATGCCTCCTCCATTGCTACTTTTGCTTTTCCCCTGAGACTTGTATTATATGGTAGGTAAGTCTAGGCGGCGGCTAGGGGATAAGAACGATATTTGGTAAGCGAGGAAGCAAGGGTTAAGAATTATAATGAGTTTCGTTCGACAGGTGTAGATAGTTAGACTGGCAGGCATGCACGGGGAAGGGGGGTTGGAGGGCAAGCAGTTCGGGTGGTTTCGCTTCAGGTCTTTAAGAAGTAAAAGGGTTGGGGAAGAAAGCAACTGCAGCAAAAGCTTGTTGAGGAGGCGTCGGTAGGAGCAGGAGAAGAGGTTTTTGGCTGAGGCAGAGTACCTCAGCCAGTGACACGGACGGACGGGCAACAAGACTGGCAAGAAATTGGAGGTGGAATGCGCAAAACAAAAAAAAGCATATGCGCTAATGGCAAAATCCGGGGAGGCAGCATTCAGGAGGAGAGGGAAGTCCAGGAAAAGGATACCGAGGACAACCGTAACTGCGTGTGCACTGCAGTTCTGGATGTTGGCCGCCCCGGGATGACTGGATCTTGACCTGTGATTTGCTGATGCGGGTCTTGCGGGGACTAGGAATCGTGTGGTGATTGGGCGGAGTCCTCCGGGGAATGAACTTCTCATTGCATGATTACGTAGGTACCTCGGTACATGGGTTATGATCGGGTATTACTATGCGGCGGGTAGGTACCCGTACCCGGATCATGCAATCTTTCTCTCGTCCCGTCCACGGTTATCGGTTCAAGGGGGAACGTGAGGGATGGAACTCGAAAAGGTGCTGAAGCCTCTTCTAGGCCCCCCTTCTCACTGTGACGTTTCGGTAGGAAGGTGTGCTGAGATGGAGGTGGAATGAGCTGACTCTAGTACGAGGCTTGCAAGTTGCTTGCCTTCCTGGGTTGTTTCATGCAGAGAGGGCTTCGCCGTCGAGAGAGAGGCATGTGGGTGTTTTTTTCTCTTGCTCTGAGTTCCATGGCATGTTTTTCTATCTTATGTCATGTACCTATCCAATCTCAGTTTGTGAGGTTCATGCTTGTTTGGTTTGCATAAGTGACGGGACACTGAATGTTCGGAAATGGCCGTGGCGTGGGATTCCGTCTGATGATGAGCGTCCGTCTTGTTAGGAAGGTGAAATTGTGCTTTATACAGACATGAAGCTAAGGTCAAGTGGCTAAAGCACCTAGAGGTAGCTGAAGCTGTAGGCCATCGGTTATTCTCGCCCTCTGAGACCATTACACTAACACGACACAGCTTGAGGAGCAAAGGAAGGAGGTTGTGGCTTGCGCGGGCTTCCTCCTGGACTGTAGGTTGAATGACTGATGACTGAGGTGGGCCACAATGGGATGAGATGGATGGATGTAGGTGGCTTGCCTTACCTGGCGCCGTCAGGTACATCGGTACCTCGGCGGGGTCCAAGTTACCCCTCCGCCGCCGCCTCGTCCCGCCTTTCGTAGGGCGGGCTGGCTGGCTGGGCTTTATCGCATTGAGATTTTTCCAGGCGGGAAGCCTAAGGTCAGAGAAAAAAAAAAGTTGCAGTGACGAACAGGACGACTCGCATTACGACTCACCAATTTCTCGCGACCGAAGCAGAGCATAACATCCCGAACTCAAGCCGGCACGAAACCCTTTCCCCGACCAAGATACTTTATTTTTCATGCGTTAGGGAGCTGTAACGCTGCAAGAAAGAGGGCCAAGATGCGCAACTTGCGCAACATCCGATTCAGCGCTTGGGAGCAGCAGCAAGATGTCGACCCCTCGGCGGTGACCGCCTGCTGCTGGGACCCCGCCAAAGACGAGCTTCTCTGCGCGACTGGGCCGACGGAGGCGAAAGCCACCATTGAGCTGGTGAGGCTGTCGGACCACCACCAGCAACAGCAAATGTGTGGCGCCATTTTTTTTTTTTTTAATTTACTCCCTTGGATTTGTTCATTCGTGTCGTAGTACACTTTGTTTCACTTTTGCTCTTATTCATATTACCCATTTTGTGAAGGCTGTTTTATCCAGGTCATTTCCTGGAATTTGGCTCGATTTGATATCACGTCCCGGTTGTGAGGTTATTCTGACCTTGAAACCGGGGTGCATATCTCTCTATTTCATAGTGTGGCTGAACATGCCACCAGCTTTCACATACTGAAGGAACTCAAACGGTCTGAACTCAGACTAACATGGCTCTCATAGTAAATCACACACAGTCACAAGTTGGGATGCGCCGAGTCCCAGCCCAGACCTGCCCGCGGACAGGGTCGTCAGCATCCATCACTTCAGCGACACTCTCACCACCTGCGTGATACTCGAAGGTGGTGATATTGTGACCATCCAGGAAGATGATGACAGCACCGACGTCCAGATCGAGATCGTAGGGTCCATCGACGCCGGCATCGCCGCCGCGCGGTGGTCCCCGGACGAGGAGCTCCTCGTCGTCGTCACCAAGGAAGGCAACGCCGTCTTCATGGGCCGGACCTTTGACCCCATCGCCGACGTGGTCATGACGGCCGACGACCTCAAACTCTCCAAGCACGTGTCCGTCGGCTGGGGAAAGAAGGAGACGCAATTTCAGGGTAAAGGCGCCAAGGCGATGCGCGACCCGACGATCCCCGAAAAGGTCGACGAGGGCCTGCCGAGCGTCAACGAGGACGGGTCCGCGGCCGTCAGCTGGCGTGGCGACGGCGCGTACGTCGCCGTCAACTCTGTCGCTGGCGGCGCGAGGCGGGTCGTGAGGGTGTACTCGCGTGAGGGCGTGCTCGACAGCGTCAGCGAGCCCGTGGACCACCTCGAGGGCGGATTGAGCTGGAGGCCGTCGGGAAATTTGATTGCAGGTATCCAGAGGTTCGAGGACCGGACCGACGTCGTCTTCTTTGAGAGGAACGGGCTGCGTCATGGGCAATTTACGCTGCGGTGCGCCGATGGGCCCCTGAGCGCGCACGAGAAGATCCGGTTGGAGTGGAACTCGGATTCGACAGTCTTGGCTGTGATTCTTCGTGACAGGATACAACTGTGGACGACGGGCAACTATCACTGGTATCTCAAGCAGGAGATCCCACTGGCGTCTGCGTTTGCTGGTTTGGCGTGGCATCCCGAGAAGCCGCTGCGTTTCGTCTCCGCAACCACAAGTGAGTTTCCTTAGCCCCCTTTTTACAATCAGGCGATGTTTTACTCACTACATTATAGCTATTGTGAACGTGGCCGAGTACATATTCACTGTCTCCCGCGGATCCCTCAGCCCTCCTCATGACTACGGAGCCGTCGCCGTCATCGACGGGCAGACTCTCAAGCTCACGCCCTTCCGGACGGCTCAGGTACCCCCGCCCATGGCCCTCTTCGAGCTCGAGTTCCCCAGCAGTGTTCTGGATATCGTCTTTGACCCGAGCAACAAGCTCATGGCGGTGTTGCACCGAAAGGGCTTGGACGTCTATGAATGGCAAACGAAGGGGGAGCGGTCAGTCAAGCCCACGCCCATGGCCAAGCTTGAGTTCGAGACGGATACCCATACCCGTGTGCCTTTGCAGGTTGCCTTCTCCGGCGCCGCAGAGTGCCGCGTCCTTGTCTCCGACGGAGGTCTGAAGCTCGAGGGCTACACGATCGAAGCAGGCTCCATCAAGGCTTCAGGGGCTGTTCAACTTAGACCGACGGAGACTATCTCGTCGCTGTTCAGCCGCGAGGGAGACTCCGGTACTGAAGCCTGTGCCCAAGACCGCTCTGGAAAGCTGTATTCGGTAGCTGGTACCCAAGCCCCTGAGCTGCTGTTGGGAACACAGCTGTCGATGCAGCTGCCGTGGTGCGAGCTGCACAATATCAATGGGCGCAGTGTAGGGATTGGAATGACGAGGAACGGCCACCTCTATGCAAACTCGAAGCAGTTGGCGAAGAACTGTACCTCTTTTGTCGTCACCCCTGCGCACATCATTTTCACGACCAATAACCACCTTGTTAAGTTTGTGCATCTGGTAGACCCTGAAGGTTAGTGTAGCCCTATTTCTATGCTGAAGATGCCAGGCTAAGAGATACTGACTCTGTTTCCACAGAGATGGAGGTTCCTGGAGATGATCCAGAGATCGACGAGAGATGCCGAAGCATCGAGCGAGGCGCCCGCCTCGTGACAGCCACGCCGACCAACATGAACTTGGTCCTCCAGATGCCGAGAGGTAACCTAGAGACCATTTTCCCCCGCGCCATGGTTGTTGCGGGCATCAGGCAGCTCGTCGACGAGAAGAACTACGGCAGGGCCTTCGCCTTTTGCCGTACGCAGAGGGTGGATATGAACATCCTTTACGACCACCAGCCAAGCCAGTTCTTGTCCAATGTCGGCCTCTTCCTTGACCAGCTTAAGGATATTTCCTACATTGATCTGTTCCTGTCATCTCTCAGGTAAGTTGCCCCTCTCTCGTGAGACTTTGGGAAACAAATCTAATTCGACCAGGGACGAGGACGTCACGCAGACAATGTACAAGGACACAAAGCGCTCCGCAAGATCATTCGAGCCCTCAACAGAGACGCCAGCACCAGCCGACGCCTCCCCAAAGTCCAAGGTCAATAAGATCTGCGACGCCATCCTCAAGAGCCTCCAGGCCAAAAAGAGCACGAACCTGCAAAACATCATCACCGCGCACGTCTGCAAGGTCCCGCCCGCCCTCGAAGACGGCCTCACCCTCGTCGCGGAACTCATGCAGGAGGACGAGAAACTCGCCGAAAAGGCCGTCGAGCACATCTGCTTCCTCGTCGACGTCAACCGCCTCTACGACAACGCCCTCGGCCTGTACAACCTCGACCTCGCCCTGCTCGTCGCCCAGCAGTCTCAGCGCGATCCGAGGGAGTACCTCCCCTTCATCCAGAACCTGCACAACCTCCCCGACCTACGCCGCAAGTTCGAGATTGACGACCACCTCGACCGCAGAGCAAAGGCCTTGCTGCACCTCAAGGCCCTCGACGCCTTTGACGAGCTATGCAGGTACACCACCAAGCACGCGCTCTACCAGGACGCCCTCGGCCTCTACCGCTACGACCAGGCGCGCCACCAGACCCTCACGGGGCTGTACGCGAGCTACCTCGAATCGAACTCAAAGTACCGCGACGCCGGCCTCGCCTACGAGACGCTGCAGAACTTCGCCAAAGCCACCAGCTGCTACCGCGCAGCCGGCGTGACATGCTGGCGCGAGTCCCTCTTCGCAGCACAACAGCAGTCCCCGCCGCCGTCGGAAGAAGCCCTCGCGGAACTCGCCTCGTCCCTGGCTGACGCCCTCTGGGAAGGCAAAGAATACGCCGCCGCGGCCACCATCCACGCAGACTACCTCGCCTCCCTCGAGACGGCCGTCAAGTGTCTCTGCAAGGGCTACCACTTCGCCGAGGCCCTCCGCCTCATCGCCCGCGAGCGCCGCGCAGACTTGTTACCGACCGTCTTCGACAACGGCCTTGTCGAGGCCCTGAGCAGCAGCACCGAGTTCCTCGCCGACTGCAAAGCCCAGCTTCTGGCGCAGGTCCCCCGCATCGCGGAGCTCCGCCGCAAAGCGGCCGAGGACCCGCTCGCGTTCTACGAGGGGGAGCGACCCGGCGGCACGGGCGTCGACATCCCGGACGACGTCTCCGTCGCTACCTCACGTGTGAGTACCTCGGCGAGTCTGTTCACGCGGTACACGGGTAAAGACGGGAGTATCGGGACAACTGGCACGGGCGTGTCGCGCGCGACGTCCAAGAACCGCAAGCGCGAGGAGAAGAAGCGCGCGCGTGGAAGGAAGGGAACGGTCTACGAGGAGGAGTACCTCGTCAACAGCGTCCGGCGACTTGTCGAGCGCGTCGAGGGCGGTGCCAAGGACGAGGTCGGAAGGCTGGTGTTTGCGCTTGTGAGAAGGGGTATGACGGAGCGCGCGAGGGCTGTCGAGGTTCTCGTGGCCGAGGTCGTTGAAGGGTGTAAGGCTGCTGTGCGCGAGGTGTTTGCCGTCAAGGAGACCGAGCAGGAGGGTGGTGTTGTTGTCGGGCTTGACGGGGAGACGTACCTTGCTTCTGGCGGGGATGCCGTGTTCCAGGAGCACCTTGAGGCGAGGACGAAGAAGATGGAGCCGCCTGCGCTGAGTGCCTTTCAGAAGTTGACATTGCTGGGGTCATGAGTACAAGAACCTTGCTTAGCAGGTCAATGCAAATGTGTTTATAATTTTCCGTGTCCATGTCATTGTTGTAGTAGCTGGTGCTTGACGCTGGATGTATCGCTTTTCTGTATCGCTTTCCCGTATTGCTGCAACCTGGAAGTTCTTCTCGGACCATGATGTGCGCCCCCAACCCCCCAATAGGCGGGTCTCATCTACACCCTCAACCCTAGTTCGAGATCATTCGAATCCTCGAAAACTAAGTCTCTCACTCTCGGAACGCGGTCGTTAGACCAATCAAGCTCTGTCCATCAACTTCCTCCTTCCATGTCCCCATTACGTAGTCGATATACGATCATTTGGCTTCGTACCGGCCGCAACACCCGCTCTGCTGACGTGTATATCAACATACATACCGACAAGAAGAGTCCTAGCAGTCTGCATCGCCTGGCACAGAACCCTACGCCACCAAGGCGTGGCCACGGCCCGCATTATTGCTTGGTGGTCTCTTTTCGTCTCCCCCCCTCAAGGAGAGGAGTGCATCATCGCATGAGTGCCCATGGCATGACTCGGCAACGGGACTGGACGACTTGGGAACGGAATGAGATGATTCTTCTACGTATGAAGGGTGGGCTCGTTGGCGACTAATTGCAGCCGTGAATTGACGTCGTGCTGCTGTTGGTAGTAGCGGGGCCATGCCCGCACGTTGGACAAGGGTTCTCATAGTCTGGTTCTGGTCAGCTGTTGGCAAAGAGACAAGGAAGAGGAAGACAAACTTTGGATATGAACTGCATAATTAATATACATTTGGTGGTAGGATGCCAGAAATTGTACCGTTATGGCGTGGGAATAGGCTTAGACGGGTATAGTCGTAGTCGTAGAGAAGGTTTAGAGGTAAGAGGTTCAGTAGGGGTAGTAGACTAATATGAATATTAGACCGCTAGCAGAATTAGTAAAATCAGTAAGAATATAAGCAGAGACATAAGTAGGAATATAGGCAGGAAGAAGGACAGGAAGAAGGACAGGAAGGTGGCAGGATAGGGATAGGGATAAAAAAGCCTGGAGATGCAGCCTTCAACATGCGAAAGAAGAAATTTAGACCGCGAGACATAACAATCAACACCTTGGCCAAACTTGGTATCCGAGAGTCATGACAACTATTCAATTGGAACCCCCACGGGGCTGACATGTTTGCCTCACTTGACCATCACCCTAGACCAAACGTATCATACCGCAACTTTGTTACAAATACAACTCTTATGGCTATTCATACATACTACAAATCTCTCTGGCCTCTCGCCTGATTTTGTTGCCCCCCTCTCCTCGTGAAGGTCGAGTGCCCCTTTATTGAGGTGGAGGATGACTCTCGGTCTCCTTTGGTACTTCTGCCGCCGCCGCCGCCGTCTTGGACTCAAACAACCTGGGCGTAGGCACGTTCCACGCGGAAGTGTCCCCTTGAACAGTAGCCTTGTTCCTCGCCATAATCTCACCAATCCTCTCAAGCATATCCGACGACAACTCGGGCTTGCCGCGCGCGCGACGGGCATCGCGCAGCTCGCGGTTGAGCTCCTGCAGTGGCGTGCGCATAGAGGCTAGCGCGTCGGCCGACGCCTTCTTGAGGGCCTTCTTCTCGGCCTCCTCGGCCTCCTTGCGCATAATGTATTCGTCCTCGTGGCGGGTACGGAAGCGGGAGTACTTGTTGCGGAGCTCGTCGATGACGGAAGCCGGCATGGGCGGGGAGAGGAGCGTGGGCACAAAGGTGGCGGCCTCGGCGTCGAGGCGGAGGGTGTCGCCGGGCTGGTCCTCGCGGACCTCGGCCTCGCGTTCGGGCCAGGGGATGGCGATGTTGGCGCCGGGGATGTAGCGGGTCCAGGCGCGCCAGCCGGTGGTGCGGGACCACTTTACGGGCCCGCGGGCGAGCTGGCGGACGACGACGTCGCGGGCTACGCCGGTTGCAGGGTCGACGATGGGGTGGACGAGACGGATGGCGGAGATGGGTATGTTCATGGCTGCGTTTTGTGTTGTGGGGGCGTCGAGGAGGTTCTGGAATGATTCGGGGACGTGGACGGTAACCTGATGGATGATTGGTTAGCCTTGAGCTTCTCTTCCCCCATCTCTCCAACGTTGCTTTGTTGTCCTGGTGGAAGTGAATATGGTGTTGTAGCCTCACCTTTCCAATCTCCTCCAACTGAACGGTGCCGTACTCGAGGTTGATACTCGCAATACGGTCAATCTTGCCCTTTTCTGGGCCCTCGAGAAGTACCACGCGGTCCTTGACGGCGAGGTTGAGGTACTCTACTCCTCCGGCCCATTCACACCGTGCCTCAATCTCGTCGGGCTTGAGCGGAGTCGAACGGCCCTGGCGATTCGTCTGGAGGGCTCCGTAGGTCTCGAACATATCGCGGCGCGGGGCCAAGGGGCCGAGATCCCATTTCTCTTGACGGGCGAGACGGGCCGCCTTGATGTCCTGGTTCAGCTCCGTGAGCATGTTCTTCTGGTCCCTGAAGCGCTGGGCCTTTTCAGCACCGCCCTCGCCGCGGGCACGCTTCTTCATGCGCCGGGCGACCTGCTTCTCGGCCTGCACCGTGCGCTTGATGATTCTCTGCATCGTTCGCGGATGGCTCCCGGCCAATTGGGAAGGGTGTTTGGATTTGTTGGAACCTAGTCGATCGAATTGTCGAGGTCGTCGGGTTTGGCGTCCGGTTGAGTAGCGGGTTCGGGGGTGGACTGGCGTCGGCGAAGCTGGAGCCGCGATGGTCTGTCGTCGACGTCCTTGAATTGGCGATTTGGAAATTTCAGACGGGTCGGGAGCTTCAACGGCCCCTGCAGCTACGGGCCGGGGTCTGGGTGGGTCTAGGGGAGCGGCACGGATAATCAGAGATGCCGGATCGCAACGTGGCGCATGGGCCACCTGACAGCTGCCCTGGTACTGGGAAGCGAAAAGACCATCCCATTGTGTCCGTGCCAAGCTTGCAGTGGACGGATGAATGAATAAACCCCACATCCCCCGGCCCCAGGAGAGATGGCGGTAAGTATCCGCTATCCAGTGCGACTCGGCTGGGTGACATTGGAAGGTGAGATAAGTTCTGATGCGCATGTAGGTTCATTGCCGGCGCTTGCTCCGGCAACAAAGCATAACCACACGGCTTCTCGGGTCTTGACGAAAGAGAAAACGAGGGGGCCACTGGACGATTTGCAAGTCATCAATTATTGCAATCTCCCTGTATCAAGCGGCTGCGCTGCGCTGCGGCCATGACCGTCGTCCGAGCCCCATCCAAGGCCAGCGATGCCATTATGCAGCACCCACGATGATCCCTCATGCGCCATGTCCCAGAATAGACATGGGAAAGGGAAGATGCGGATAACGACTCGGAGTGGCCTGCGGAATCTTGGGCCAAAGCTGCTAATAGAGCCAGCAGATGGCTGCTTCTAACGTGACGAAGTAAATCATTCGCCTCGGTCTCTGTCGATACAGTCTTGGCCGTTCAGTATTCAAACCAACGCTGTCGGAGGACATGGCGCGCATGGTCACAAGAACGTATAGCGACGGTGCCAAAGGTTGGTTGATCGTTAGACCCCTATTTTCCCAGATCTTGGGACTCGAGGCTGGACAAGAGTTTCAAGGTGGTTGGTGACCGAGACATCTGCACACCCTTTCGACTGTCTTGCTCTGTTTCCTTCCTAAAGATGGTGCGGCTGCTTCCTTCCCGTATTCGATATTCTGGTCGTCAGCTGGCGGAAGCTGTTCTTAGTGCCGTTAATGAGGATTCAGAGTCGCGGTCAGTCAGTGGCATGTCACATCAGTCAACCCACAGGCGCGCAGCGGCTCAGGAGCCGAGCGTCCAGCCCCGACGCACAGTCCCTGGCAGCAAGGCACTGTGAAGTGTGGCGGCAGGGATTGAGTCCTAGATCCAGGACTATGAAATTTGTACCGCCTCGCGGTGCGGCGCAAGCAGCATCCACCAAGGCGTCATCCCGAGGTACCTACGATTACACACAGGGATGACAACAAAAGCCGGACACCGGCTCTCTCTAGCCTCCGTGCCTCCTTCGTATCGCTCTTGTTGAAAGGTTGAAAGCTTTCTCAATGAGAGAGAAATACTCGAAGAAGACAGCAATGCTGAGACTGCTGAGAGAACAGCTAACAATTGACTGGTATGAACAAGAGGACTGTCTTCTCGGTCACATGGGCCAAGCTCAAGGTATGGTCGGCGTTAAGGATCTCGGTACCGCAACACGGCGGGCAGAGTTATGGTTCCGATCAACAATCATCTTCTCCGCCACGTACCTGTCGTTGTGGGCGCATATGCACGAATGGTCGCAGAGTGTGGAGGGATAGCTTGGAGCTTGTGCAGGCTAAGACTTGCCAGATCCAGCACGCACCAGAGGATTGCGCAGGGCAACGTATCGTTATCGAGAGGTTGTTTTCTGCAGTGCTGGTCCCGGTAATCTTGACCGCAAGAGTCCTGAATCAGTGGAATAGAAGCATGACTGTACCTAGGGCGTCTTGGTGTTAAGTGCATGTGGCTTCGCCTCACCTCACCGCAGATGGGAAGATTAGACTAAGAGATACCTAGTCCGTTAGTTTGGCTCCCTCAGGAATCAGCAAAACAGCACTTCCCGGGTTGAGGCGGCGAACTCTGCCAAGTCGTCATGCTGCTCGACCAACTGCTTGTCAAAGTGGTTGACGAGACTGGCAATTGTTGGCTTGTCCGTGGTCAACACTCATTATGACGGCGGATATGTGTATGATAGTCTGACTTGACTGACCACTGCATATCGGGTTTCAGCCCAAGCTTGGACCCTGGGGATAGCGATTTTGGCCGATTCCCCGAGATGGATCTGGTCGAGGTATTCATGCTTGGGTCTAAGCACTACTTCAGCACAAAAGGGGTTTACGTCAAAGGCATAAGGTAGGACGACAAAGAACTGGCGTCGAGATGCCATGGGCGAGGCTGACACTTGCAGGACTAGATGCCACTGCTGTATCGTTGGTCGTTGGTTTGTGTGTCTTTGGACTCTAC